GAAGGACGTCATGCCCCCACCGTCTCGCAGGATTTCGCACCAGAGAGTTCTAGTCTCGGTGGCCATAGAGTACGCGTCGCTTTCGAAGCCGGGTGGTCGCTTGTGCAGCTCAGGAGACCGCGACTCGCGATGGCGCGCCAGGACGACAGTGTCACGGGAGTCGCGGAACGACGACCTCTGTGTCGGGGCGGGATTGAGCTTGGAGGGCCCTCGGAGCTGCTCCACCTCGCGCTCGAGCTCCTCCTCGCGCATGTTCTTGTCATCGAGCATAGCGCGAAGGTCCGTCATCTCCTTTTCCATCTTCTCGCGCGCCGCTCGAGAGTCCACCGACTCGCCGGCCGTGGCAGGATACGAGTGCATCTTGTTGTTGAAAGAGCTCACGCGCGGGGGGTGCTGGTGTTCAAGCGCTTCCGCGTTGGGGATCGAGTCTCTGCTGAGCGAGTGGATAATTGCCTTGAGGCCGCGAATCTCATCCTCCTTTTGCTCGAGCTCCTTGGAACTGGCTGTTGCGTCTTGTGCGGGCGCACTGTGGCCTGTGCTGGGCTTCTCACGCTCACGACGGAGTTCACTACGCGTCCGCTCGACTTCTCCCCGCAGGAACTCGACCTCGCCCCTCGCCTCAGCTTCTCCGCGTCGGGCATCCTCCAAGCCTTCCTCGAGCTCTTGGACGAGTTCCTCCAGCTGTTTCAGCTGCTGGGCAACCGAGTCAACATCATCGGTTCGTGACTCGTGATCCCGAATCTCCTGCATCAGCTCCTCAATGCGCTTCTCGTACACCCTCTCGGTCTCGGTACTAGCCATCTCGAGCGTGTCGATGGTGCTGCGGAAATCGGCTCGGTGCGCATCGAATTCAGCCGTGAGCATGGCGATCTTTTCGTTCTTCTCTCGCAGGATGGCGCGGAGCTGCGTTGAGTCCTTATCGTCCAGGCTGTTGCGTCGCGGCCGCAGGGCGTCAGGGTTCTCCATAAGCGTCTGGAGCTCCGTGAGGCTGCTCTCCATGTCGGCCAACGTCGCGGCCTGCTCGCGGAGCTGGCGATCGCGCTCCTCGAGCTGGTGGCGTAGTCGCTCAGCCTCTTGATCATCATTGTTGCCCGTCCGTGACGCGGGTCGGAACTTGGAGTTGAACGAGGAAACAGAACCAACGCTGCCGTTGGTCTTGGGGCGACCCATGGCCATGGGCGTGATGTCGTCCTCGGGAAACTCCATCGACTGGCCGAGGGCAGACGCGCTGCGAGGTCCCACGCTAGGCTTCCTCTCCAGTCGCGGCACCCCCTTCCTGGGATCACCTGATGTGCCTCGCACGCTCTGGGCGAACCGGTTGGGCGTCGGGCTGCCATATCTCGAGGGAGGCTTGACGCCAGGGGTGACGCCGCCGATGGAGGGCCTAGGGCCGGGCGTCATGAGTCGTCGGACAGGCGACTCGGGGCGGGGTAGCGAAGGTCGAGGGCGCTTCATCTGGGGACTGGGTGCCCTTCCTGGGCCGACGGACTGGCTGAACTTGGGCACCGAGGGCGTCGGAGGTGTGTGGTTCGTCGAGTTTTGGTTGCCCATCTTGAGACCGCCGCCCGTGAACGCTTGCCGTCGGGGTAAATGGGAAGCTCGTCGCGGAATCAGGGGACGTGGGTCGCAGAGAGGCCTTGATTAAGGGCAGAAAGATGCCGGCGCCGGGGACGCTCGTGGTGAAGTAGGACACGCTGCATCGATCGAGCGAGGTCAGCAAAGGGGCCCGATTGAAGGAAGAGGGATCAAGGAGGAGGGGATCAAGGACAGGAAATCAAGGACAGGAAATCAAGGACAGGGAATCAAGGACAGGGAAACGCATACCCATCAACATCGCCAGAGTTCTTGCCCGGGACGCAAAGTCGGACTGCAGCTCGACACCGGCAAAGGTGCCCTTCTTTCCCTGCACAGGCCCGGATGAAGCGAACGGTGCCGTACATGTGCCAGGGACGTCAACAAAGATCGCCCGACGACAAAAGTCATCGCCCGCCAACGAGGGGCGCTGGCGGGCGCGTGGCGTCCGGCCAGGCGTCGTGGGCGTCATTCTCTTTCCGTCGGGCGGATCACTCAGCACGGTGTTGAGGCCGTAGCTCTCGCTGGCATCGGGGATGGAGGCGAGGGACGATGGCGTCAGGGCGGCCAGGGAGCCCTTGCGCGCCAAGAGAGAGGAGCTCGTGGGTAAGGGGGGCCCGAGGCGTGACGAGTGCGAGGTGTAGAGCGAGTTGAGGTTGGGCGTCGATGCAGCGTGGTGGGAAGAGCCGTAGAGACCGCCGTTGGTGAAGCTGGACGACTTTCGCAGGGTGCGCGGCAGCTGCTGGGAAAAGTGCGTGGAGCGTTGGGAACGGAGGGGTGGTGGCGGCCTTGTTGATGTTGATATGGTGGAGGATGTTGTTTCGGTAACCAGCGTTGAAGACATGGCGGAAGGGTCTGGGACTGGCGTCCCTGCCTTGGCCTAGGGTACTTTGATCAGGTAGGTAGGTACCAGGTAAGGTAGGTAGGTACCTAGGTAAGGTACCAGGCAAGGTACCTAGGTAAGGTAGACAGAGGTAGGTCACTATTTGGGTACCGGGGCTCCAAGCCAAGCCAAAGGCGTGGATCCGGCCGTCCACCGGGAGGGTCGTACTCTGCCAGGCGTCTTCAGGTGCTGTGGTACCTGTAATTACAGCGTACCGTCAGTGTGTGGGAGGTAATCTTGTTTACCCCCACCACACCTCATGAAAAAAAGTGTTCCGTCGTCAACGACCGAGCAACAAAGCTCGAACCTAACTGGCGGGCCTGTCCTGTTCTTTTCTTCCAGGTTCGTCTGATGTCTCGCGCCCGCGTCTGGCGTCCAGTGTCTTCCCCCTCCCCCCAGTGTCGGATGCCCAACGCGCCTGATGTGCTGTCAGGCTAGCCTTGCCGTCCGAGGTGGATGAGTGGATAGGAAGCAAAGCGCGATCTCCCTCCAGCGCCAGTGTCTTTGTGGGCTTTCGGCAGGCGGAGGGGGGGGAGCTGTTCCTCGCTCGTGTAACAAGATGGGCGATGAACTTGGCGTGTGTGAATGGCTGGATGCTCTGCGTTTCTTTCTGTCTTGCAGCCGGGACGCTCGCTGCAAGAAGCAAAGCAATAAAGAAGACTGGAAAAAGAGAGAGAGAGAGAGAGAGGGAAAAAGAGAATGTGTCGTTTGGTGAAAGCGAAGGGGTTTCGTCTCTTCTTGTTTCGTCACGTCACAGCCCAGCGGCACCCCTCGTTCCTTTCCGTCCGTGTGCTGAGTGTCCCTCCCTTTGTGTCAACCCGTTCCGTCAGTTTCCTGCCGGGGGTGGATGTGTGTGAGTGTGACGGTGGCCCGACCGCTGGTGACTGGGGACAGGGTGTGAATGGCAGTTGCACAAATGACAGGGGATTGACTACTGTAAGTAGAAAGTTGAGGATGCGACTTGCCTCTCCTCCAAGATGATGCGTGCGGGAAGGGGAGAGGGGCGGAAAAAGAAGCAAACCCCCAGATATTGTTTGCAGAGGAGCAAAGGGATTCCTCCCTTTTCTGCGTTTCCAGACTCAAATACGAGAGAGAGCCTCTTGACGGGTGAATCGCCACGAAGCCTCCCCTGAACTTTGCCACGGCAACATCCACCGCCTTTCTCGCGAGGCTTCATGGTATCGATTGTTTACATTCTCCAGATACAGTAACGCTGCCTCCATCACACTGCGTCTTGCAGGCGCTCCTTGCTGCGTCTGCCGCTGCACACATGCACCCCCTTCAGCCAACCTCAGCCCGCCTTTGGACGGGCGACCCCATCGCCGTGCCTGCAGATCTATTGCTGAATGGCTGCCGCCTCCATGTGACCTCGAGCTTGAAGCTGACCCTTTGCCGTCCATGGCGGTGCTGCTGGTCAGTGGGGCGTGGAGAAGGCGTGTGACAGGACGAGTGTCCTTCTTGCGCACGGTAGGTAATCATAAGTGGTCGCTGCCCTCTGAGCCTTCATTTGCAGGCGCGGGCGGCTACAAGACTGACTTTCGACGTCAGTCTGAGTTGGGGCCTCCAGACATTTGATTAGCCCGAGCCCTGATCTTGGGAGGATGAGGTAGATCATCCGATATCAGAATAGACTGGAAACAAGGGAATCCCAAGACCTCGGATACCCCGGACCTCAGGCTGGCACCCAGTCGTGCCAATAGCCCATGATATATTTCCAGTCACCTTTTTGCTTTCCAGCTTCACTCTAGGTAGGGGCCTTGTTCTCCTTGCTTGGTACCCCACTGGCATCGAGAAGTCGGCCGCCTCGTAACGTATCCGGGTGGCTCGTTCCGGGGACAGGTGGTCGCTTGACTGGTACCTGTGCACCACGCCGCCAGAGCTTGAACCCTGTCTCTTAGCTGCCCTGCGGTCCCGGGACAGGAGATCCACCAGCAAACATGAACCCCGCTGTGGCCGCTGGGACCGTATATCGCTTGTCATGGTTGGGATGGTGATCCTCTCATCCAAAGCCAGACAGCTAGCTCTAGGGTAGAATGACCGTCTCACTCAAATCAATACCGACTGCCTGTCCGGAGTCCTTCGCTCGCAATTGGAACTGGACATGCGGGAGATTTCCCCGAATGCCACGGCCAGCTGTTCACTACCCACCTAGGTACACATGATGTGTCATATTGGTTGGTGTCTTTGCAAAGGCCGCTGCATAACCCATGCCCGAACTGTCAACCCTGTCTGTTCCCCTTGTGGCGATGCTTCATTCGGCCTGTTTAGAAACATTCTGATTTTAACCTGTTGCCGGATCCATTCACCTCTCCACGGAGCCTCTCCTCACGGTCCGAGACAGTCTGCTTGTTGTTGTTGTCTGTCTCCTTATGGGCTGCCCCGAAACCGATGACCAGCGACTGGACGGCTGCGTTTCCGAGAACATCTCCTGGAGCAGGACTTTAATGTCACCTTTGATTTACATTCGAACTTTCCGCTGAGCGTACTAGACTTGAGCTGAGACGTAAGGAACGGTCTCCTGGAGCAGTAGCTGTTGCCCGGCGGCTAGACTTAACCTTTGACAGCTTCACGATGTTATATCGTCGTAAGGGATCCTGGTACCGCGACACAGACGCGAGGGAATTGATGACCTGGGATGAAAGTCGCGGCTTTGGAAATCTCCCAGAACCCTGGCAGAAGCTCCATCTACACCACTAAACATGTGTTAGACTACTCGCCCAACTCTTTATGCTTCTTCTCGGCCATCATTGTGCTATTTCGAGGCCGCTGATCTCAAATGAAACGCAACCACATAGGTGTTATCTGGTCATCAAAGCCAGAAAAGCTCCTACTTCGGGATCCCGGCCGCTCGGTTTGCTCTCGCAGTTTGCAAGGTGCCCCGAGGCCCCTTTCATTGAACACCTTGTTGTGCTACAGAACCTGCAGCAAGAAGAGCAGTATCTTTTCCCCACGGCAGCCGTCACCCTGCCTCCTGACCCTGTCACCAACTGAGAATCACATCAACTCTACAGCCCAATCGCCTATTATGACATGAGCCGCTCGATCTCCTGTACATCTGGCAACGCCAGAAAGCGACATGACGAGCTACACTGATGTCTCTTCGAGCTCCACTATCAGCCTCAGCAGCAAGGGGCTCATGCCTCATACAGTCAGACAAAATAGCACATGTCTCTCAACCGAGTAAGCCTCTGCCCACGGATGACGCTCTGGGCCTCTCTCGGAGTTGTGCGATGGATGATCGTATATGAATGCTCCAGATGATCTTCCCAGGCCTGAAAGCCGAGGTGACGGCCCCGTACACCCCGTCGTGGGCTGTAGTGATGCTGCATCAGAACAGTCTTCTCATCAATCCAATGGAAGTTGAATCGTTTGCAGCCGTGGCGAATATGAATGGCTTAGCATCCGAAATCCCTACTAAGGCGGCGAGCCGCTGTTGCGCTCGATAATATCTTCTCTCCCAATGGGCCGCGTGCCGTCATTGAAAACCATGGCCTCTCGATGCTGGCGTCGAAGTCGTTGTTCCTCTGCGGAGTGATCTCTGCTTCTGGGCACATTCTCCGCCGCCTGATCATCGTCGACGTCCGCCGCACGCACAGCCGGCTGCAGGGCGACCAGAAACCCTTCCTCCGTTTCCGCCGCAATGGTTACATGAAACTTGGACTCCACAGGGAGGTTGCACGCGTTCAGGGCCTTGCTACCCTCAGTTGTGTGCGCTATCCTCGTGACAATGTCGACGATCCGGTTTCTCTTGTGATCCAGGTAGTAAGCGAAGTTCTCGCGTCGCTCGTCCTCGTTCTCGCCCCATTTTTGCTTCGCCAACCACTTCTCCACGAACTTGGCCTTGACCAGCATCTCGGCACCATACTTGTTGATGAGTTCCAGGAGGAACATTAGGCAAAACCTCTCGGCCATATCGCGTAGGTAATATTCATCCCAATATTTGTCGTCGAGGCTTTCGTGCTCCACATCGTCGAGGCTGAGCTCGAGTGATCGCACCAACGCTGTGTACGCTTTCCAGTTGTGCAGTTTTGATAGGCCCTCTGTGTCGAATCAGCAAACCCATACCTTTGATGAGGAGTCAGATCTGGAGGCGTACCGTGTGTCTGACCAGTCAATGTGGCCAGCGCTCTTAGAGCCTGCATTCGTGTGTCATAGTCTGGCCGGGTGATATCGTAGAGTAGGTATTGAACTGTGTCTGGGTCGTTGACGGCGCGATCGCACAGGATCTTGTTGGCGATGTCGCGGATGGAGTAGTTCGAATGAGCCAGCAACTTGTCAAGCGTTCCGAGCTGTAGCGAGTCTTCTGTATCCTGAGTAATGTATTGCGGTTTTAGCGGCGTCGGCTTGACTTCGTTGTCGTCGCGCACCCATAGCAGTGCCTGGGTCATCATTGTCACCATGCTAATGGTGGCAGCGCCAATGCCGATGAGCACGACGCGCTCGTCGCGACAGAACCGAAGAAGAGACGAAAGCGACATTGTGTCGGTCATCGTCATGGCCGCATTTTTCTTTGCAAGGGAAACGATGCCTCCGTTCTACGAGGGCTTCCAGTGTGTTCACGATTGATGGTGCAAAGACGGAGCTCCAAGCTCGAGTTTCACAAGTAGATACCCCAGCTATTTCTTTGGGTACCTATGTACCTTTCCTAGGTGCGCTCCACCCCTACGACATTCATCATTCCCTGTACCGATTGAGTGCCCCACTATTTGATAAGATAAGCCTGGGTCCCTCACAATTTTTTTGGATGGCTCTTCAAGAGGCTTGCGACCCGCGATCTGAATAGCGATGCACAAGCACTTCGGTCGGTGATCGCACAACTTTTTCAGCATGGCGGGCGGTTCGCATCTCAAACGTCTGAAGTCTTCGCTCAGAGGTAACTCTTATCTTCTTGCGGGCATTACCTTTTTGGATTGACGACTGACATTGCCCTCTCCAGAGCAAGGCTTGACCGGACCCCAAAAGTCCAAGAAGCAGAAGCGCCAGATTGCGAACGACGGCAAGGCGAAGAATGACAAGCGCCTGAACCGAACCGAAGCCCTCAATCAGATCCGGGAGCAGTTCAACCCATTCGACTTGAAGCATAATGCCCGGGGCCCCAAGTTTGAGGTGACGACCAATCGCCCATCTACCGGCAATGCCGCCAAGGGAATTGCCGGCCGTCCGGTGGCCTCCACGACTGCGGCCGAACAGCGGCGCCGGGACACACTCCTTCTCGAGATGCAGAGGCGCAACAAGGTCGGAGGTATCCTCGATCGACGATTCGGTGAAAGCGACCCCAACATGGCGGAGGAGGAGAAGATGCTGGAGCGTTTCGCCCGCGAGAAGCAGAGGTCCCACAAGAAGACGAACCTTTTCGACCTCGAGGAGGCTGAACCTCTGGGCGAGCTCACTCACGGCGGCGAGGCCTTGACCCTGGACACGCAACTGGTTGACGATTTCGACGAGGATGATCTCGACTCGGACGATGACGAAGGCCTGGCAGAGGCTCGCAAGCGAGCGCTCAAGCGCATCCGAGATGCCGAGGTTGATGAGGAAGGGGAAGGTGGTGAAGGTGAGCCGGAGAGGAAGAAGAGCAAGAAGGAGGTTATGGAGGAGGTCATTGCCAAGTCCAAAGCCTACAAGTACGTCTGATCTATGGCTACTGCTGTTGAAACGGCTACTGACCCCATTTTTCTCACAGGTACGAACGACAAGTTGCCAAGGATGAAGATGAAGAGCTTCGCGGCCAGCTGGACAAAGAGCTCCCTGAGCTGCAGATGCTTTTGGCAGCTCGCGTGCGCAAGAATGTTCCCAAGGACGACAAGCCGCCTCAGCTCGTTGCAGGCATGGAAAAGGCTGCGTTTGACAAGGACTTTGACCGCAGGCTAAAACAACTCATCCTGGACAAGCGATCGAAGCCCACCGAGAGGACCAAGACGGATGAGGAGAAGGCGGAGGAAGAGGTGGAGAAACTCAAGAAACTGGAGTCTGACCGCCAAAAGCGCATGAGGGGAGAGTCCGTCTCTGATGACGACAACGAAAGCGAGGACGACAAGATGGAAGAGGAACCAGCTGAGGAGCCAGCTTTCCAGTTCTTCACTGAGGACCCAGAGGAAGATTTCGGTCTCGGAAAGGGAGTGCAGGCATCCAAGGGGCGCTCGAAGGGGCGCCCGTCTGCTGATGAGCTTGGAGGTGACGAAGACGATTTCTTCATCGACGATGATCTTGTGGCCAGCGGCTCCGACCTTGACATTGCCGAGAGCGATCTGGAGGAGGAAACAGATTTATCTGGCGACGAGCAAGAGGAAGCCGACGAGTCTGACGACGAGTTCACCAAAGGCCTTTTGAACGAGTCTGAAACTAGGAGTAACATCTTCACCACGGGAGCGCCAGCGGACGGCAAAGTCGACGCCTCCGATCTGCCATACACCTTCCCTTGCCCTGAGACGGTCTCCGACTTTGTGGTGCTGGCCAAACAGTACCCGATCGACAAGCTTCCAACCATTGTGCAACGTATTCGAGCAGTCTACCACCCGAAACTTGATAGTCGGCACAAGGAGAAGCTGGAGCACTTCGCCATTGCGCTCGTCGATTACATCGCGATGGACCACATCGAACTAGGCACGCCTTTCCAGGTCATCGAACAAATAATGCGACATATTCACTCGCTGGCGAAGACATTCTTCCCAGTTGAGATAGCTGTCCGATTCCGGCATCACATCAAAGAGATGGAAGACCAGCGACCGCAAGCTCTGCATACTGGTGATTTGATTCTCTTTACCGCCGTTGGCATGTTCCCCACCTCGGATCACTTCCACCAGGTTGTCACGTAAGGCTTTGATTTCCGACATCACGGTAACAGCAACTGACAAAAGGACAGACCAATGATGTTGACTATTGATCGGTACTTGAGTTTGAAAGCACCGAAAACTCTCGACGATTTGGCGACAGGCGCATACCTTTCCACTCTCGTTCTTCAATACCAAGCTTTCTCAAAGAGATATATGCCTTCGGTTATGGTAATTTAGGACAATCTTTCCCCAACAATCATGTTCTGACACGCAATAGAACGTTTGCCTCAACACCATCGCCGCGGTAGCACCGCAGAAGGCTTCATGGCCAGGGACTTTCCCAGTACACGAGCCTGCAGCGGATGTGAGACTTTTGAGCACGAAGAAGGGCGCGATTCGCAAGCTGAAGATTTCGGACTGCACTCCACAGGAGCAGACGAAGGAACAGCGCCAAGAGCTCAAGCTTGCACTTCTGTAAGTTGTGACCTTGTCTGAAACGCTGAATTCCATGCTGATGTTTTTTTCCAGCGCCGCATCTGCGCCAACTCTTGGCAGCAGCCGCCGATATATGGGCCTCCGCAAGCGCATTCACCGAGACGTTTGGTCCGGCGCTGGAGATGATTTCCCAGCTCACGAAGCCAAAGAACTCGCAGCTACCTCCTACGCTGGTCGATCAACTGGAGAAGGTAATCCTCAAGCTCCGCATCCTCAGCAATTCAGCCCGCCTCGCGCGCCGTCCGCTTGAGCTTCACCACCATCGCCCGCTTGCCATCAAGATGGGCATTCCCAAGTTCGAGGACAGTTTCGACCCCAACAAGCACTACGATCCCGATCGCGATCGCGCGGAGCTGGCCAAGCTGCGTGCAGAGCACAAGCGGGAGCGCAAGGGTGCCATGCGCGAGCTCCGCAAGGATGCGCGTTTCATGCAGCGCGAGAACCTGCGGGTCAAGAAGGCCAAGGACGAGGCGTACGAGAAAAAATACAAGAGGCTCGTGGCCGAGATTCAGAACGAAGAAGGTCGGGAGGCGAATGCATACGAGAGGGAGAGGGAGGGCAGAAAGAAAGCGAGGAGCAGCAGGTAGACAGTGGTTGGATTGCAATGGGGAGGGCTTTATATTGGAGTTACCTTATCAGGGTTCAGGACTGCGATTCCTCTGCATCTCGTTTATTCAAATATCACTTGTCGTTTGGAGCCACTTTGTTCAAGCTGCTTGTGGAACAGTAACCCGCTGTGCCAGATGCTAAAATAACTATATAACATGAGCAAGGTCGTAGGGACTACGGGGGTAGCCTGCCTCGCCAAGTCACGTGAACACGAGAATGTTTGGTGGTGACTAAGGAAACGCGCTCCGAGGCAGACTCAACCCCACCGACGCGACTTGCCTCCGTTTCACGTGGACCACTTTACGAGGAACGTCGAGGCACAACACCGTAAATCACCAGCAGCGAAACGACCGCTGAAGGCAAAAGGCCTCCACTCTCGTCCAATGCTGGCACATATACCATCAAATGTTTCTTCGCCGACTTCATGACGCGGAACAACCTCGGAGACCATCTTGCTTGGCTCTTGGGCAACATCGCCATCACGAAACCTTCATGTCCTAGCTACCCTCCGAGCCTTAGCTTGTCGCAGTCCCAGCTGAAGCCCGCAAGCTTCGAGGCCAAGTCGAGTCTGTCCAATATTGCCGTCAAGCGAGCGCACTGCGCACCGAATGAAATAGCAGCTGCCGCCCATGCCAACGTTACGCCGAAACGTACTGCTCGGGATCCCGGAGGGGCACCGAACGCTCAGGAAGACATGGCGAAATTGACGTCGGCGTCGAAGCCTCACAAGCCATCTTTGTTGAGCAAAAATCAACAACTCCCCACACCCGACCCCTCGACAAACGTGGGCGGTGCCTTGCAACGGGCATACAAGGCTCAACTCGAAGAACAGCATGCGGGTCATAGCCTGCGTTCCCCTGCCCCTGCAAAGCGCGAGCCAGTCTCGCAGAGCAAGCCAACAGGGACCAGGTCAATCACGGCTCCGCAAGCTGTGCATCCTAGAATCAAGACCAGCCAAACACCAACACGGGACTTGCCAACCCTGGATGACTTTGACTTATCCGATGTGATGGATCTCACAGGGGATGATACAGTCATCTCCTCGGATTCAATCAACTTTGGCGACGAAGTCAAGATTTGGAACGAAGTCCACGGCAAGAGGTCGGAGCCGCCGTCACACAGGGGCCAGAAGAGGAAGAGCATGGATGTTGCCGACATGGATGATTTCAATTCGGATGATGAGTTTCCCGACCTCTACGACATACTCGAGACTCCTGCTCCGAAGAGCAACAAAGCGACCAAGGTCACAGAAGTCACTACTCCGAGCTTGTTGGAAACACATGACCAAGCCGTGCGCCCTTCAACGACCCGAATTCAGAAAATATATCGACAAGCAAGTGATGATGGCAATCCTGGCACGCCCAGACGACCCATGCCTCTCTCTCATCACGATCAATATCTGGGAAGAACGCCAAGCAAAGCGCTTGTCCTATCATCCTCGCCCAACACATGTGAGCCCGTGGATTCAACGCCCGATGCTTGTCAGATTAAGGGCACGCCAGCGCCCGGCTTGGTCAAGAAACGCCGGATTATCCAGGACTCAGACGACGACGAGCCAAATGACGAATGGATTACACCCCCGAGTCGACATGTCTCCATCGCTCAGCAAGATCATGATGTGTTGAGAGCATTGCAGTCGCCTACGACAGATGATGAGCTGATGGCTCTGGAAACACCCTCTCGAGCTGAGCCTGCTCATGCCCCCCCAACGACGAAGATGACAGCCCCCACTCAGCCTGCAAAACAGGAGGCATTATCAAGACCAATATCCCAGTCGCAATCGTCGGGGCCTCTAGTTGGTTCACAGATTCCAGGTGATCCTGATCCCGCCGTCCTGGAATGGTTTCTCAGGACGGAGTTGGTATTGGAGGCAAAGACGAAAAACTTAGAGACACGAATCACTAAGAACAGCGAGGCTTTCGGCATACTCCTGAAGCAAGGCGGGACAAAAGAAGATCGCCAGAAGGTAAAAAGTGAGAAGAAGGTCCTGCTAGCACAAAAAGAAGCGCTCAAAAGCGTCCAAGCTGTCGCCGAACAGCTTAAGCCCCTTCAGGACGAGCGTCAGTTGCTCGCTGTTCAGCTAGCCGAAGCATACGATGCTGGCCTCGATACCGATGATGATGAGAGTCGTTTAGACGATATCTCCGACAGCATCAAGGCTCTCGAGCAGACGTATCTACCTCTCCTTCCCGCAGCGGGTATTGATGCCGATTTTATGGCTGAACATGAGCACACCTCAGCGCCAACCGTGCATTTCGAAGATTCGGTCATTCTCAACACGCAGCCATCCCACCCAGGTGCTGGTCAAAACATACACTCCCGAAATGCGTTACCATGTACCGAGGTCATCCAACAGACCCAATTCTCATCTACGCCACAATACAGACAGTCATCCCCTCCCCCATTTCCACGGACATCCACACGGACTCCTAAAGATTCCCAGATTTCGTATGATCGAACACCAGCTGGGCACATCCTTGTAGAAGATGACGCTGAAGACTTCTTCGACGATATTGAAGAATCCGACCTGAGTGCAATGACGCCATCATTTTCAGCTGTTCCAGCGTTCAAGCCCAGCCGTGGAATTTCAGCGAAACCGTCGTCCAGGCCCGACACGTTTAGCGACGGCTTTGACGATGATGATGCGATGGTTGCCATGGCAGAAGCTCACGAGACGAACGAAATACCGTCCAATAACATGCTCAGTGGGCGTCCGATTCTCGCCAAAACATCAGGAAATGCGGTCACGTCGTCAAAACCCAAGGCTGTGCCGAAGAAACGGGAGGCTGCAGTCCTGAAGGCATCGATTCCGGCCGAGTTACTAAAACATCGTTGGTCCGAGGACGTGACCAAGGCCCTCAAGGACAGGTTCAGAATGCGTGGCTTCCGAACCAACCAGCTCGAGGCCATCAACGCGACGCTAGCCGGCAAAGATGCATTCGTTCTCATGCCAACTGGCGGAGGTAAATCCCTGTGCTACCAATTGCCGGCCGTGGTCACCAGCGGGAAGACGAAAGGCATCACTGTTGTCGTTTCGCCACTACTCAGTCTGATGCAGGACCAAGTCGACCATCTCACGGCGCTTGGGATCAAGGCTAAGGCTTTCAGCAGTGCCATCCAGGCCCCAGCTCGACGAGAGATATTGGAATTCATGAACAGCCCGTATCCCGATCATCAGTTCACCATGCTTTACGTCAGTCCTGAGATGCTCAACGCTAGCGCACAATTTGAGCGCGCACTCACGAACGTCTATCGGAACCAGAAGCTGGCGCGTTTCGTCGTGGACGAGGCACACTGCGTCAGCCAGTGGGGTCATGACTTCCGACCCGACTACAAAGACCTGTTCAAACTGCGCAGTAACTATCCCAGCGTGCCCATCATTGCCCTGACTGCTACTGCTACCACCAATGTTATCGTGGATATCCAGCACAATCTGCAGATTGACAAGTGCCAAGTCTTTACGCAAAGTTTCAATCGGCCGAATCTGACTTATGCTGTCGAGAGAAAGGAGAAAGGCCTTATCGAAACAATAGCTCAACTGATCCAAAGCAAGTACAATAACCAGACGGGTATTATATACGTCTTGTCGCGCAAGAACACAGAGGACGTGGCCACGAAGCTTCGCGACAACTATGGCATCTCTGCAAGCCATTACCACGCGGCTATGAAGCCTGAGGAGAAGTGGAATGTTCAGAGAAGATGGCAAAAGGGCAGCATCAAGGTAGTGGTTGCTACTATTGCTTTCGGAATGGGCATTGACAAGCCTGACGTGCGATTTGTCATTCATCACTCTCTTCCCAAAAGTCTTGAAGGGTACTACCAAGAGACCGGACGTGCGGGCAGAGACGGCAAACCGTCCGATTGTATCCTGTACTTTGGGTACGGCGACGTCTTCACCCTGAAGAAGATGATCAACGACGGCGACGGTAGTGAGGAACAAAAGGAGCGACAGCGGGGCATGCTGAACCGCATGTCGACGTACTGTGATGATCAGAAAGACTGTCGTCGAGTTACAATTCTCCGCTACTTCGGCGAAGCATTTAATGTTGCGGACTGTAACAAGACTTGCGATAACTGTCTTCACAAGGGCGTGTTTGAGGAGCGGGATTTCAGCGAGTTCGCCATTGCCGTTATTGAGACGATCAAGGCGCACAAGTACCTGACTATCAATCAGTGCGCGGATATCCTGCTGGGCAAGAAGCGTCCGAAGACGATTGACGACAATCTTGACGATAACCACGGCCTTATCAAAGGTCGCTTGGCAAAGCATGAGATTGAGAGACTGGTGGACAAGCTTCTTGCCGAATCTGCTCTTCGGGAGGAGAACACATTCAACAAGCATGCCAAAATAGCGATACAGTACATCTATGTGAGTCGAATGCTGTATGCTCCATTAGAAAAGGGGGCCTGTTTAACTGACAAAATGAGAGGTGGGCGTCAACGCCAACAAGTACATCAGCGGTCGCAGCAAGTTGATGATGTCGGTCAAGGTTTCCAATAAGGATAAGGAATCATCGGCACCGAAGCCGCGCAAGCGAACGAAGAAGGATTCGGCAGATGGCGGAGACAAGCCCATGTCTGGTCAGTCGCGGCTTCCGCCATCGACCAATGTTTCCTCCCCAGCCACGGGCAAAACTACACGAAGACCAAAGGGGAAGACTACGGTGCTCGATGAAGAGAGTGATTTGGAAGAAAGAGATGCCAACGCTCACATCAACGGCTACGAGAGAGATGAATTCGTCGTTTCAGACGATTCCGATGACGGATTTGAACCAAGGCCGGCGGCCAGGAGACGCAAAGTCGCTGTCCCGCTTGGACCTCGTATCTCGCAGGAGGATCGCTTGCGCGAACTCGAGGACTGGCAGCAGGATCTCATCGAAAACTTTGTTCGAGACGCCAAGGTGCTAGAAGAGAAGCTACGTAACCAGCAACAGCTGAGGAAACCGTTATTCTCGGAGGCGATACTGAGGGAGATGGCCATCAACCGCACGACAACGTTGGCCAAGATGCGAGCGATTTCCGGCATTGATGCCGAACGCGTCACTAAATTTGGCAGCAAATTCTTGCCGCTCATCAAGAGCTGCGAGGCACTCTACGAGCAAGCAGACGAACAAGACGACACCGAGGGATCGGCTTTGTATGCTGGCCAAGGCGCCGACGCCATCACTATCAGCGATGAAGACGGCGAGGAGACGGAGGATCTCGATGACGAGGAACGAGAGCAGCCTTCAAAGTATTTCCGCGGGGCTTCGGAGCACGATGAATCGGAGCCTGAGGTTCCTTCACCCAAGGCAGCACGTGCGTGGGAGTCGAGATTCGGGGCCACCGCAGGCCCTCGAGGGGGCTCCTACCGCGGGGGCGGTGGGCGTCGCGGTGGCTTTCGAGCGGGCAGCCGTGGAAGCAGCAGGAAGGCCAGCGGTTCACGGAAACAGTCGTCCGAGTACACGAGACGAGGCAGCAGCAGAGGCAGCAGAGGCAGCGGCGTGACGAAGCGCAGGGCTTCGGGCAGCGCGCGAGGCGGGGGTTCTGCTGCGACATCGGGCGCCTCCCGGTCGTCTCTCATCTCAAGCTATGCCTATAGGGGTGGCGGCAAGTCGGGGGGCAGCGGTATTGGGCTGATGCCGACCTGAGTGAAGGCGGAGACGGAGACGAGGACACATATCACGAGTGCTGTAGATACGACGAGCACGGCTGTCATTGGGGGCCTCGTAGGCTGTGTTCATGAAAACAGCGGTGGTCATTATGGTTTGGCGTCTTCAAGGGGGGCACGGCAAAGCATGCCTGGGCAGCATCTTCATATGGCGGCGAAGAAAAGGGGCACGGCGCATTCGTAATGCCTTTTTTCTCTCTCGAACGATTCTCCAGCAGAGTTGCATTTTCAACGACATTATGACCAAATTGTTATGGCTGCAAGGGTCGCGATGTGATAGCTGTTCTGGCATGAGTGATGGTTGTGAGTCTACAGAATCAACACACGTAGTCACGTATTGTGGATAAGGGGCAAGGGGCCAGTTTTCTGTCGTCCCATCAGAACTGTCACAGCCCGATTGGGCCACAATGTAGCAGACAAAGCGTCAGAGCAGCCTGCGACTGCTGACAAGGTCGCGTCGCCGGACCGATAGGCCTCGTGTTAGACCCAACCGGGTTGGACGCCGAGGTGTACTGCTTCTCAATGACATGGGGCACGGGCGGCGCCCGCTGCTGGTCTGTGTCTCCATGCTGTTGCCCCCCGGGGCCGAAGGAAAACCCCCTGGAAGGGGGGGGGGGAACCCAATTCGAAAGTTCCTGGCCACAGCCGCGCCACTCCCGCTGTCGGACCCCTGAGAATGCCCCTGGACCGTCTTGGGCTGGGCGAGGGAAGGCGGCCTGAAGGACTTTTTGGAGTTTGGAGGCGCTTCGTTCTTTGGTGAACAGTTCGCATTGAGGTGGGATAAGGGACGGGTTTTGTATCTCCGCGGAGCAGAGTTCAGCCTCCACCTTTCCCACGTGCCGGCGTCGACGGAGCCGCAGAACGCCCGCAGTGAGATACGGGTATCGGCGGTATCGGTGATGACAGTGGGATTCGCGCGATTGGGGTTGTCATGGTAGTTGGGGGGGGGGGGTTCTCAGTTGCGATTGCGACGAACTTGGGTACAGTGCATCAAATATTAGAAGATGGCTCGAGATCGAGGAGAAGAAGGA